GGATTTGTCAAATCTTTAACCATCTAAGTGTTTGGGCTTTAACAATAATCCACATAGTGATTGAATAAGACATTTTCCAAGATAAGATTTTGCTTGTGCTAGCAAGTTTTGTTTCTAAAACAAAAAAAAAAACTAAAATTCTGACTAAATCTTATTTTTTTGTCAAACAAAGAAAACTATTTTTCTTTTCTTATCTTATGAAACGATTGAAAAGTGGTTTGAGGCTTCAAGTTTTTAGTTTGCTAATATAACATTTTTATATAACCAAACTAATTTGTAACCCTAAATACAATAGTTGTGTTTTAATTTAATTAAGTCTTCGAGAACTTAATTAGTTTTTCACTTTATTTTGGTCTATTTCAATTAAGTCTAACTTAATTAATTATCCTTATTCAATCCTAATCATGTCACTTAATGTGTGTGACCTATTAGGCTTCTAACATGTTGGCAATAAATATAAATCATAATCAAATATCAATTTGGTAATTAATTTATATTTATAGATCATGAGCGACATCTAGCAATATATCATAACCATCAAAGAGAGTCAATTAAAGAATTTGACAAAGCCCTTAAGTGATAAGCCTCTTAGTGCAATACGGTCTTTTCATCAAATATCTCGGATATGTCATTAAGTATGACTCGGTGTCTACTTACGACATTCCATATTAGTTCTCATAATTCATGACTAACCTTATAAATTTAGGAAACTAATTTTTCTCAAATTCATCATGCTTTGGTCAAAGACTTTATACAACTTAATTAAGAATTGAAAACAAGTGAAATATATCCCCTCATATCATTTGGGGTGATGAATCCTTTCTTGACCACTCATTCACTGTCGCATGCTTCATGGCATATCCAAAAACACCCTATTTAGGCATTTGGTTTCTTCTAAACTTGAAGAGGTGAAATCAAAGTATGTCATTCCTCATACAAGATGACCTGGTGTCTCAAGTCTAAGGACTAGTTGCACGACTATCACATGAGAACATTTTCTATAGACACTTGAGTGAAATAACAAATGGAGTTCTCATAGCGGGTCATGTTCAATGAACTTGTTTTTTAACAAGCACCTAAATGTTATCTTCAAGTATCCCATATACTTCAATTTATGAGATCGAATGCTTACTTTCCAAATAAGGAGGCTTAACATGTATCAGTCTTTAAACATTGTCAATACTCTGTCTTGACATTAAATTGATCAGGAATAATTTTAGAAATATAGCTTTGATGCATAGTGATCTCATAATTATAACAACCTTATAATTCTCTCGTAAGGTCTTTATGTTCCATAGACTTCATCCAATTAGTACTTAATAACTCTTTATTATTACACTAATATAAAGAAAAACATCTATCATATAAAATTATGTAATTAAATATATATTAAATAACAATATATATTTTTTGACCAATCTAATTGGCTCAAGAGCATATATCAACAACTTGCCCACTCGACAAACTCCAAATAGAGGAGGCTTAGGGGCAATTGGGGGATTAGGGTACGATGGTAGTCGATCGCTGGATAGGGAGAGCAAGGGAGAATTTTTTTAAAGGGGATTTAGGCTTATGGCTTCGAGCAGATTTGGGGAAATGGGGAGGGAGGGAATTAGTAAAGGACATTAGGGTAATTTCCATCCTATATTAAATTAATTAAAAAAGTCATGGGTGGTTGCTCGATTGGTTTCGATGGGTCTGTCATTCGGCAAACACCCTAGTTTTGCCTCCAAACATTTAACAGTGTTGAAGTTTCCACCTAGAAACCACTAGACATTTTTATTCTTTATTATTTTAAGAAGTTCAAACCATAAAAGCTGTCTCTCACCATTGTCATTTAGAGTGTATATGTTATCAAATCCACATTTCAAATTATACCCTTTGACGCCCCTGGTTATGAGAATATATCTCCTTGCTTCGATAAAATGATCCACCTCAAAAAAATCCTCGCTCCAACAACAAAGCAACCCCATAGAGGAACCTACAACCCCTAAAGCATGCCAATTGACCTTACTTTTTCCACACACCTATTCCATTATTCTCTGATGAGTCTCCTGCAACATCAGCATGTTTGGTTTGAATTGCATAGTGAGGTTTCTTATTGCCCTCTTTTTCTCTAATTTCTCCAAACTTTTAATGTTCCATGCAATAATCAACATTAAAATAAATGTCTTTATTATGTACATCTTAATTTTCATTTGTAAAAGTAATAAAATTCATAAGCTTAAGAGAGTAATAGGAATAATGTATTATACTTGTCCAATAATTCATTGTATGATGTTAGGTTAAACATTTAATGAGTGCGCGGTTGATTTTCCAACGTTTTGTTTACTTCATTTGCCTAGTTGTCGGTTAATATGTTTTGACAATGGGACAACTCTTGTTCATTTGCTTCTACACTAGTATCCAGGACAGTCATTACTTTTATTTGTAACCAATGGGATGAACACAACTTTGCAATTCTACAATTATGGGGATGATTATTCTAATCCTTTGTAACTAGTGAGGCCGCACTCATTTTGTTTCACATTGGACTTAAGCCAAGAAAAGTCCTAGATTAATGTTAGTAATTAAGAAACACTTTTCTTTTTTTTTTTTTAAAGAAAGGGTAGAAAACGATTCAGATCCAGAACTTGTTGATAGGATCATTTATTACTGATATAACTCTCAACTCCTGGCATGTCCCTCTCATTTCAACTTTGTTTAAAGCCTGTGGAGAAAGCCCTATCACAAACAAAGGCTAAAGTTGGGGTCTCCTTGCTTTCAATGGAGTTTTCAACTTGGAAGCAAGGATGGCTGGTATGAGTTGTGACAGTGGAAACCGTGGCATAATGGTCCTTGACAATGAAAGAGGACAGAGGGGCAACTTTTCTATCTGGCTTATTGGAACCCGAAAACTATAGGGTGGTCCCTTCATATATATATATATATATATATATATATATATATATATATTATTTTCTGTTCGGAGAGCTTAGCTGGTCACCACTTGGTATCCATCATTCATTCTGTTTTCCTTGTATTTTATTCGGTTTTTGCATCTCCTCTCTAGGCAAAACGATAAACAAAAGCTTATGTAACTGTTGTGTCAAGTGTTAAAAAATACGGGTCATGTAAATCGACTATAGTAGATTTAATTAAATTTCGAAGTTGAATTCCCATATTAGCAATCAACATGCACTAATAATAGGAGTAATTTGAAAGACCCCTTGATGGATAATTAATCCCGATGATTGAATATCGATCAACTTTAACACCTAGTCAGAACTTGTCTTAATATTGTGTCGGTGGCTGAACCATGTCCTACCTTTTTGCCTATTAATGCAACGCTAGCGAAGAGGAAAGCAAAGGAAAAAACAAAACTTGCTACTTAGATCTATATGAATCTGTAGATCAAAGAAGTTTGTCTTTACTGTGAAGCTAAAGGAACCTTATTTGCCTAGATTTAGATCCAAAACATTTAACGACCATCGGCAATAAGTTGCTCATAATCGAGGCAAGATTTGATTACATACTATTGACTCATCAGCCACAAATTTTAACAATGAATACCATAAAAATAAATAAATATTCCGAGTTAGGATGTTTCATTCAGTCGGTGAGGACTGTTTCATATTCTTTGAGGTACGGAAAATACGAGAGACCAATGGCCACTGAAAACTCTCCCCCAGCCATCCAAGGCCCAACGTTAGTCAACCAGCCATCTATATAATGCTTATATTGTAACCTTATGACCTAAAAGCTTCTCAAGTTCTTAATAAAACATAGGATCGGCTTATAATTAGTGACTTCAAAATCTTTGATTAGCTAAAACAAATGTAAAAAGGAAAATAGTCAAGCTTTTTTTTTTTCTTTTTAATTTCTTTGAACACCCATTGTACTGTTTTATATAGATCAGTAGCAGAGTTCATCAGACCAGTTCAGCTTAGACCTTAAATTGCTTGCACAACAATTTGTCAACTGTTTACAAATTCCTAAACAAATTAAGACTTTCAGAAAGGTCTTCTTTTTAAGTGGCATAGCAATACTAATACAATAACATGTTAGAAAATTCAACTCTCTCTGGGCTACATTTCGTCTCGTTCAGTCTATGATACAGAAAAGAAACTGTATTGATGAAAAATAGTAGTATAAAAGATTCACTGTGTCTGAGTTTCCGCACGAGCTGCAATGAACCAACTCCCTTGAGGGCTCTGGGAGTTTCCTTCTACTCCTCCCTGATGGCAATTAGGTGAGATGTCATATAGATAGAAATAATGTAGGAAGAATGCTTTTTCTTTGGATGCATCGATATGTCACGTTTGTCACTTGGTGTCACCATCCGATGGTTACCGCTTACTTCTGACGTGAGGCAAACCAGTGTACAATGTGGAGCTCAAATATCTTAGCATCAAGCAGCAGATCATTTTAGTGGAGCAAAGCAAACTACTGGCCTCGGAGTTTACATGATGATACTTTTAAATTCGAATTAATTGGACCTGGACGATTTGTTGGTGCCGGCCAGCCATTAACTAAGAAAACATCAAGTCTTCTTTCTCAAGACAGATGTAATGATCGATCCACTTTCTGTTTGAAATCATTTTCTATAATCAATTATGCCAGCCAATTCAGGATGATAATATAAGATGCAAAAAGTAATAATTATTAAATTGATTCAATAAATGGGGTGTCCTGCCAATTGGCAGAAGACATTTGCAATCCTTCTACCCTCTGCAAAATGATTACATTTGGCAGTCATTGGTGTAGGCATCTGGGCTTAAGCGCAAAAGACATGTTTACCCTCATAAAGTCAATAATTTTGCAATTATTGAAGGGTGATTTTGGCTTTTTGACACCCTTTAATTAGGACTGAGATAGACACTAAGCGAAGGGCGCACATTAATGTTCATACGAAAAGAAAAAAGGCCGTAAAATAAAATTATAAAAATTGTAAATGAAGAAGCATGCAAGAGCACGGATGGAGTGGAGTTTTGAGAGCGTGGCACATGTTTTCACAGGGTTAGGACAACAGTGATTAACAACGATTTCCCGTTGGATTAGTTGGCCAACTCACTTAGATAAATAAGATTCTTTCGATGTCACTTTGACTGAAACGCCCCGCAAAGTCACAAGCTTCCTCTCTCTCTCTCTCTCTCTCTCTCTCTTCAGGCGCTAGTTCAAGAAAACGTTTCGCAACTTCACTGTTCTGTGGCTAAAATTCTGAGCCAAAGCCAAAACAAACCGAGAAAACAGAGGAAAAAAGGAGAGTAACCAGTTGAGATAACAAGTTTTCTATCAAATATGGGTGCAACAAGTCCACTCAAGGGCCAATCTCAGTCTCATTCCCTGACCAAGAAGTTCTTGCCTTATGCTCTTTATGCTCTCCTCTCCATAGCTCTTTTCCGCTTGTACTTTCACCCTTTTCCTCTCCCTCAATCTACCACGGAGCAGCTCCCTCACAACAACCGCATCATCCTCACCACTTCTTCTTCTTCTCCTCCTATATCTTTCTCCGAAGGTATATTGAGTTAAAAAAGAAAAGTTGCAGAACTTTTATCTTTTTTTTTATCCGATTTATGGTTTTTTTAGTATGTTGGATTATAGGTGTTATTATTAAAGTGGGGTGTTTTTTTTTTTTTATGCTTTTGTTCCTTATTTGCAGAAGAGGAAGTAGATAATGAAACTACATGTGACTACACCAATGGCAGATGGGTACATGACAAGATGGGGCCTTTGTACAATGGCACAACCTGTGGTACAATTAAGGACGGTCAAAATTGCATCTTACATGGGAGACCTGACTTGGGTTACCTTTATTGGAAATGGCAACCCAGCCAATGCAAGCTCCCAAGGTTTGATCCCAACACTTTCTTCCATCTCCTTAGTAACAAGCATTTAGCTTTTGTTGGTGACTCCATGGCTAGGAACCAACTGGAATCACTCCTTTGCATGCTAGCCACTGCCTCCAATCCTAACCTGGTTTACAGAGATGGGGAGGATAACAAGTTCCGTAGATGGCATTTTGCTTCTCATAACATTACAATATCAGTTTATTGGTCACCATTTCTGGTTAGAGGTGTTGAAAAATCAAAAACTGGTCCGGATCATAATGAATTGTTTGCCGATAGTGTTGATGAGAGGTGGGGGGCCGATTTGGACCATATAGATTTGATTGTACTCTCAATTGGGCATTGGTTTCTTCATCCAGCAGTTTATTACGAGGGTGGTTCAGTATTGGGTTGCCATTACTGCCCTGGACTAAATTACACTGAGATAGGATTTTATGATGTGATGAGGAAGGCCATAAAGACTGCACTTAAGACAATAATTGAAAAGAAAGGGGCTAATGGTAATAGAATTGATGTGTTTCTGACCACATTTTCACCTTCGCACTTTGATGGTGAATGGGATAAGGCAGGTGCTTGTCCCAAGACAAAACCTTATAAGGAGGGAGAGAAGATGCTTGAAGGAATGGATGCAGATATGAGAGCAATTGAAGTTGAAGAAATGGGAGCTGCTAAGGCAAATGCTAAGCAATTTGAAGGGATGAGGCTAGAAATATTGGACGTGACCAAATTATCATTAATGAGGCCAGATGGTCATCCAGGGCCTTACATGTATCCATTTCCATTTGCTAATGGGGTTCGAGAGCGTGTACAGAACGATTGTGTACATTGGTGTCTGCCAGGTACTATTGATACTTGGAATCAGATATTGTTAGAAGTTATCAGGAGATGGAGTTTTCAATCAAGGAGAGAAGAGTGAGGCAATTCAATACCCAATGCTAGGTTTTGATTTACTTTGCTATTCTGCTCAACTTGGTTGGCGTACATTTCTTTCTGAAAAAAAAAACAGATAAATGGAAAAAATATTGTTTGGGGTCTCTTTCAGCTATAGCACGAAAATGGAAAGAATGTGTTAATGAAATTAAGACGATTGCTCTGTGGGGTGACAAAGATAGCGATTCTTTTGGAACATGTGATGATATCAATGTGAAATGTGTACAAATGATATCAATGTGAAATGTGTAGAGGAAATTTGAAGATCAGTGGCAGTTTTTATTTCTTCCTTTGGAAACAAGGTGGTTACCTCGGCCACATCCCCAGGAAATTGCTCCTTCAGTTTCTTCTGTTCTGGAATTTGTCTGTGTGTAGAGTTTCTATTAGCTCTTGTATCTAACCAATTTGGGCAGAATTTTGATGGTCAGAGTTGTTTACAGTTGAAAATTTTGATTACGTGACAGATACTTACCTTGTCGGCACTGCATATTTTTGAGCTTAGCATAATTATAGATGATTCAAACTTTTTCAAAATATTGATTCATTCAAACACGTTTCTTCCACGACTAACATAAAATCCTGTAGAATTTTGTATACTATTTTACTGTATGAATTTTCAATATCAGTACTTATCATCGAATATGACTACTTACTAGTATATGAATTTCATGAATCCTAAGCCTAGCCAATAGCATGAGCTTCAACCCTTGTGAAAATCAACTATGTTGATGCAAGCATGTCCTTTAAACCAAAAGAAAGTAGATTTTCCTTTTGGTAGAGCCTTAGAGGCCTTTATATATTAGCAAAACCGGGTATCCAAAGGAACTTTACCTAGCTTGAGTAGGAAGAGAGTGCCAGTGGGACAAGGTTCTAACAAGTTGTTAAAGTGGGTGAAAACAAAAGGTGGGTTTAGGTGAAAGGAAAAGTTTGGCCCTTTTCTTGTAAGAGGAAATTATGAGTGTCTCCCATCCCCATTCGTCCTTAGAGTAATGCTTCCCGTCCAAAAGCATTCCATTCTTAACTTGACACTTTCTGTCCCATTTTCCCTATCCTCAACTCCCTTATTAATTTCTTCACATTCTAGTAATTATTTTAAAGTTTTAGAATTTCCTTGTATTTTTTTTTCTAATTGTTTTGGGGTCAAGGTTAAATTTGTCTTGTGGTTTGGTTTTCGGGTCTCACTTGCTTTGGGTGTGAGTAGTTTATAGGTTACATGGGACCTAGCTTGTCAAAATCACTTTTTAAGTATTTATAATGGTGTTATATTTTCCTTTCAAAAACAGAAAAATTCAAATTTGATTATTGAACTGTAGGTGAACATCAATATTCTTCAAATTTATTCTACATTTTATTGCATTTTGTCATTATACTTTTAATTTTCTTAATTTTTAAACAAAAACTAATAAAATTAAAATATTTCATGAAATATTCTATTGATATAAATGACAAATTATTATATCGATAGCAAATTTAGTTAATTGATAAAATCATTGGTCTCAATAATAAGCAATTTGTATTCAAGTCTTACTGGTGGCCAATTTTCAGTACCAGAACCCTAACCTGGATGTTAGAACAATCTATTTATCTCAAATTTCATTAAAAATTACAATTTTTTTTTTTTGCTACTTGTGCTAATTAAACAGAACCAAAAAAGTAGCAAGTAGTTAAGTAGGCATTATGGAACCAAGAAAGTAGCAATAAATTATTTTTACAAATAATGATACCATTATTGATTGTTCCTTATATAATTTTGTAAAATATCTGCTGCATTTGGTAGCTAATTATGAAGCCCTTGGAGGGTTTTTGGAGAAAAAAAATTCTATACTTATGTATTAAAATAGATCCCATAAGGCTATAATCGAAGGAACTCTTAGGGTTCCTTGCTTCTCAAACCGTGGGTCATTTACTCATGATTATGACAATTTTTTAAAAATTTATTTTTTAATAAGTAATAAATATAATAAATATTATGAATATTTTTGTGAATATCTATTTATATTATATATATTTAAATTTAGATGTAAATTAGCTTGAATGAACAATAAGATTTATTCCTTCAATCTAATCCCTTAGTATTAGTATTATCTTTATCTTATAAATACAATATAGATAAAGGGTTATTAACTTATAAATATGCTCATTCACTTCATTTGTAGATACATACTTGAATAAGATCTTTTTACTCCCTCTAAATATTTTTTTTTTTATATATTTTTTTATAGTTGTTCTCTTAAGATTTATTTCATGCTACGTTATTAGCAAGATCTCTTGATCTTCAAGTTTTGGAATTATTTTGTTTTTCATCGTTTCGAAGCTTTAAAAAGATTTTGGTGGTTGGTCTTTAATTTTTAATTGTAAGAAAATCAAGTAAGTGACTTGATATCTCTTTAATATTTTCATTCCCTAAAATCAACCTTAATATAAATTTTGTTATCATATAGTATATATTATATTTTGTTGCTTGATTGGAAAGTGAAATTGCTAAGACATAGCTATTAATAAAAAATCATGAATGTTCATGCCTTGAAATGAATGCGACAAACGAGCTATTAATAAAAATTATGAATCTGTCCATTTCTTTAAGTGAATATGATATCATTTGATAATTATGGTCATGGTATAAATCCATTCATTCTTTGGAGTGAATAGAAAATCTTTTAATGATTATAATCGTCATAATAATTTATATTATCACTGTTTTAATTTTAAAAATAATTTTACCTTCAGAAGTGGACGGATAATTTTACTATCAGAAGTGAATGGATGTCTTAACCCACTAACTCACTAAAAATGAATAATCCTCCAGAAGTGGATAACCCATCATAAGTAGATTATGGGGGTGAGCAAATGGGTGAATTGGGTGATTTGGTCCACCATACCTAAAGACCCAATGGACTAATCATTTTTAAAAAACTGACCAAATATAAAGGAAGACTAAATCAACCAAACATAGAATTGGTTTGATTGGTCCAGTTTTGAACCAATGGATCAAAATTTTATCACTTTTTTTTTACAAATTATAATATTAAAACTTATAAACTTCATCTATAATTATATATATATATATGAAATTAATGATATAACTTATATGTTATAATGTTTTATATCAAAGTTTGTATAAATAATAACTAATTATAAACAATATGTTATAAAATCTAAGATGGTAGCTAATAAACTTATTAAGCATAATGATATAAATAAAGTTTATTATAAGTTATAGTAATGTTTATGTATAAATTAAATATATGTGTATATATAATATATTACATTATTATATATATAATTAATGATACAAATTATAGGTTAAAATATTTTATATAATCATATAATAAAGTCTATTATAAGTTATAATAATGCTTATGTATAAATTAAATATATGTATATATAATATATAATTTTATTATATATATTTATATAAAATTAATGACATAACTTATATGTTATAATGTTTTATATCAAAGTTTGTATAAATAATAATTAATTATAAACAATATGTTATAAAATCTAAGGTGAGAACTAAGAAAGTTATTAAATATAATCATATAAATAAAATTTAGTATGAATCATAGTAATGGTTATATATAAATTAAATATATGTATATATAATATATTTACACAATTATATATATTTATAACATTTTATATTACGAAATATTACTAAGGTGTAATAATTATAATATATTAATATGTAGGATGTTTATTATTATACATTATAATATTAACATATAACTTATATCATTTAAAATATATAACTTATAATTTCATATTAATATAGATTTATAAATAAATAAATATATATATATAGCTAATACTAAATTACTATGATTATGATTTGCATACGTACGTACAATATCCTAATATATTTTAAATATATCATTCATGCAATTCACTATCAATTCTTTTTAATATATAAAAATATAAAAAATTAGTTTGGTTTTTTGAGTGGATAGGTCCAAAAAATTTAAAACTGAGAACCGATTCAAAAAACCAATTGGACCAATTAGATCGAATCATTCTACCCCAATTGCATTTGATTTTGGTGGGTAATTGATCTGAATTGGTTTTGCCCACCCTTAGTAGATTACCTACCAGAAGTGGATGACTACTTTCAACCCACCAAAAGTGGATGAATGATGAAAAAACAAAAATTGAAAGAATAAAAGGAATATAGAAAACTTATTATCATTGATGTGGCATGAAAGACCATTTGTTATATACCTGTTGCATGTCTTGAATTTTATCAAGCATCATTAAAAACTTTGTAATGATTTTAATCTTGGCTAAGTTGATATAGCACATCAAGATGTTTGTCTATCCTAAAAAAGGAATTGATTATATGATTGGTAATGGAAATATCCATTGTTGATTTTCTTATCTTGAAAAAGAAATTGATCATTTGATTAGTAATGAAAATATCCAAGAATGAACTCATTAGTAATTGATATATTTTAGTATAACTATATATGAAGATACTCTAATATGTTTTTATTACATTTAAATGATATGTTCTCATTATACGTTTTAATTATGTATTTAATGTTCTTTCATATAAACTTGTAAATTTCTTATTGTATTTATCTTATTTTATTGAAAAAATATGGATATTCATGCTATTGGATTTAAGATCTATAATGTACATGTATGTCTAGCAGACATTGCTACAACGTACACTATATTTAAAGATAAGAAATATTTTTTCCATTTGATAACGAAAAAAAAAAACCAATGTCCATACAAATCTAGTAGTACAAGATTAATTGAACGCTTTGGAAGAACTCATATTTTACTACCTTAAGGAACAAAGTTTATAATAATAGATGTGTTATTTTTTATTAAGTCTCAAAAAAGTTTATTAAGTTTTAAAGATATTCTTCTAAACATATTGAGACAATGAATGAAAAAGGCATTTAATACTTCTATACTACTTTTATTATCTCAAGTAAGAAATGTGTGTTGAAAAAAAAAATTACTCGATTTGTTCTTTGGATTTAACTACACAAATATTAGAATAATTGAAACTCATAAGAAACCATAAGTTAACTAATGATTTTAATGTTTGGCATGACCGGTTAGACCATCCTGAATCGATAATGATGCAAAAAATTATTAAAAATTAATATAATCATTCATTGAAAAACCAAAAGATTTTTCAATCTAATGAAATACTCATGTGCTGCTTGCTTTCAAAGTAAATAAATTATAAAGCTATCACCAGCTAAAGTTGGGACTGAATTCACTACGTTTTTTAAACATATTCAAAGTTAGATGTGGATTTATACATCCATCATGAACCATTTAGATATTTTATAGTTTTAATTGATGCATTGACTAAATGGTCAATGTGTACTTATTATAAACTTGAAATTTGACATTTGCAAAATTAATCACCCAAATTATTTATTTGAAGCACATTTTTTGATTATGTAATCAAGACAATTCATCTTGACAATGTTGGTGAATTTA